GGTGTTGTGTTTAACCCATTCCTCAATGAAGTGAGTAATATATTTTATTATAAATGTCTATAGATAATATAAGAAAACCAATATGCCAATATTTGACATGCTATCATGGCATGCTATTATTATAAAAATTAATATACAACATATTTATTAATATATATATATAGTATATATATATATTGTGTATGGAATGACAATGGCATACCATACAGTATACCGAATTTTTTGGCATATTAATCACCCTATGGCAATTGCTTATTTTTATATTTCTTAAAAAATAACCATTTTTAAAGCTATTCACTGCTCGTAAAGGTCATGGTGCATTTTTAAATCATACAATTAGGCTTCCATTATCCCATCCATATCCTCCGCCTGTGCTGCCATCTAGTCTTTCTCAATGTTTGATAGCTTACGAATTTAGTGGTACAGATAGAACGGATTGGCTCCTTAGTAAAAAGATTGATTCAGTGCATAATTTGTTAAGTTCATCTGAAAGCTCCAAAAAAGTTGGATCGGTACACGGAGTAAGATGTTTATGTAGTGGTGCTCTGGACATATGTTATGTGGCCAAAGGTTGTTTTGATTTGTCTTTTACGATTGCTTGGGAATGGTTTGTTAAATTTTTTCATCGCTATCAAACTAGTTATTATTATTATTATTATTATATTTTCGATAATATTTATAATTTTTAGGGATGTGGCAGCATCTCTTGTTATTCTTATTGAATCAGGGGGTATCGTGGTTAATGGTCGCGAGTTCAATGAAGGTCCAGTAGACCTTTTTTGTCGCAAATTCTTATGTGTTAGAAGTGGTTCGCCATGTGAAGGTGATGAAAATTCTAAACAAAGTCAATTACGCCTTACTAGAGAAATGTGCGATGTTATTGAAGAAATTGATTGCCCAAGAACTTAATTGGTATTTATATTATTCAACACATAATATGAAACATTACAAATATATCTTCTTATATTATAAATATACAAAATTGTAATTAAATAAAAGCTTAAAATGATAACTAAATTTATTTTAAGTATGCTTATAACAAAAGATTGTATAAGCAATATTATTACTTTTGATGCATCATATAAGGCAAATTAATAGAAATTTGTAATTAGCTTTTTTCTAATTAGTTTAAACTGGACTTGTAATATATACAACATATTATAATAAAAATTTGGTAAAAATCAACAAGAATATCAAATCAATTGCTCAGGTAAATTTTAACTATTTTTCATTATTAACAGTCGTTCACATCATATCTACTAATTAAAATTAATTAAACTATAGTGCTATATATATACTTTTATGTAATACCTGAAGCCAATGGAGTCTCCACTGGAAATAAATTAATAAATTTAGGACAAATTTAGATTTTTTTTTAAAAAAAAATCAATAACTCAATATTTATTAAGATACCTTAATGTTTTATATATTTTATTATTGTTTTTTAATATCACTTTCAAATTAAATATTGAGAAATTGATGGGCTAAGTTGAGACGTCCACAGGACGGGACGGGATAAGGCCAAAAAGGCAAGGACAGTAAAAATGTACATGTTGGTTGGAAATACTACGATTTAAACTTATTTATAAATATGCAATTTAATGCTTATTTTATTTAAGAATTAGATTGTTGAATAATTTATATAATTTACTAAGTGTAATTGAAGATATTATTAAAATTAAAAATTAAATTAATGCTCTACTATCTACTTACTTTTTTTATTAATTTTTATATTTTAATGGCATTGAAAATTAAAATATATACAAAAAATTTTTAACAAATAAAATTAATGAAGTATTATATTATGAACTTGAATTTCTTAATTAATAATATTTAGTTATTGGATGCGAGCAGCTAATAATATAATTTATTATATATAATATAATGAATCAGCATGCCACTATCATGGCGTGCTGGGGTGTCATGTCTAAATTTTTAAAATCTATTATCAATATTAGTAAAATTACTTTACATTTTTTGCGATAACGACAAAATATCCTAGATCTAGTGTAAATTATTAATAACATAGGTCTTTAAGAGGACATTTTCATAATAAATCACAAATTAGTTTCTTACAGCACTATTAACAAGGTATTAACGAGGTTTTAGACTGAGAACGAAAAATTAGTAACTTTCATACTCCGTCAAAATAGATTTACTATGAAAATTTTCTCTTTAATATCAAATATTAATAATTTACTTTGCGGAAATCTTGCATTTTTGCGAAAGCGAAGTTTTAGCATAAATTATTAATAATATAGGTCTCTAACAGGAAATTTTCAAAGCAAAGCACTAATTTAGCTTCTTACTAGCACTATTAACGAGGTTTTGACGAGGCTTTTTGGCTGAGTATGAAAATTAGAAAATTTTCATACTCAGTCAAAAAGCCTCGTCAAAACCTCGTTAATATGATAGTAAGAAGCTAAATTAGTGCTTTGCTTTGAAAATTTCCTGTTAGAGATTAATAAGAGAAAGTGCATTTATAGAGAGCATGTATATACAGTAAAATCTCTATAAGTGCACGCCCTTGGGACCAAGCTTTAACAACGTGCACTTAGAGATTAATAAGAGAAAGTGCATTTATAGAGAGCATGTATATATTTGGGCCAGAACTTGAGCGTGCATTTAGAGA